AAGCTGCAGGGCATGTGGGAGTCGGTCTCGGTCATGTCGGCGTCCGAGTTTGGCAGAACAATCACCAACAACGGCTTTGGCACCGACCACGGCTGGGGCGGCCACGCGCTACTCGCCGGCGGCGCCGTGCGCGGCGGCCGCCTGTTTGGCCGCTACCCGGGCACGCTGCTCGTCCCCGCGTCGGACAAGCTGCAGATGCGCGGCCGCTTCATCCCGACGACGCCGTGGGAGGCCGTCTTCAACGCGCAGGCGCAGTGGCTCGGCGTGCGCGACGAGGCGCTCCTCGCGGCGGTGCTGCCCAACCGCGCCAACTTTGATGGCGACATCCTGCTCGCCAAGGCCGACGTCTTCAAGGCGGCAACGCCGACGCCGCGACCAGGGACGAAGGCCCTTGCACCCGACATGGAGGTGGAGGTGGCGTGAGGCCCGCGTGAGCCGCCCCATCCTTTGCCGCCTCATGCAGCATTCGACAGAGGTTTATTCAGCATCATCCGTTGTGTGATGGGTCTCGGCTCTCTCTCGTGGGATGGGCAGGCCGGGAGGCCGCGCCGGCTCCTGGTGCCTCCAGGCACACCAGCACCAGCGGCCTTGCGGCTTGCGCCGCGCTGTGTCTCTGTTCGTCGCTGATGCGATTTGATCTCTGTTGCTGATGCGATTTGATTCTTACGGGGGACCCCTAGGCTTAAAAGGGTGCCGGCCCCCCCTGGGGCGCCTGCGGCTTAAACGGCTTAAAGCGGGCCATGGCCCATTTTAAGGCTGGGCCTGGGCCGCCGATTCCTTAAACGGTCTTAAAAACGGTCAAACGGTGTGGGAGAGCTCCCGAGGTCGATGGTCCGGGAGGCTCCCGGTAGACACGCCGTAGGCCGGGAAGCGGGCTACAGTCAGCTAGCACGCGTCCCCTATGCGAGTATGGCTCCTGCCAGTGCACCAGACTTACCGATGTGTTACGACTCGCTCTCCAGCCCCTCCGCAGCTGTCACGCTTTTGGTCGAAGGGATACCCCCCCCCTCGAACCCCCCCCTGACCCCCCCTGGACGCGTCCACCCTCCGTCCAATCGAGCCGATCCCTCTTTTACAGACTTACAGATGTGTCTTCAGAGGCGGGTTTGTGCCT